ATAGTGACTGTGCGAGAGAGAGCGCTCGCTCAGCCAGCCCGGCCAGCGCACGGAGCCAAGCGGCCAGTCGGCAGGGGACGTCGAGTGGCGAACGGTCAACACTCGTTCCGTTTCGCGTTGTGAACCACAATTGAACAACTTGGATTACCATCATTGAAATCTCCGTCCTGGCTGCCATGGCCTCATCAGAAGCCCGAAAGGTGTGTTTTCTTCCTGCCGGATCCCGGTCTCTCCGCTGTTGTTGTTGTGTCGCACACATGTGCTCACTACTGTCTCGTCTCCAGGGCAATTTGTACGAGGGCCTAAGTGCCACCAAGATGTGTGACTAAGGTCGCCGTCGCCTCCCTAGCTGCTGCCATGCCGTCCATGCCCAAGTCGCCGGCGCCTGCCTCGCCCGGCCCTTCACCATCGCGGCGCTGCCCCCCGCGGCCCCGCACCCACCGGCTCGTCATCGCCGCCATGTTTCGTCTGCGATGAGCTCGTTGTGTCACCACAGTAGTGAGTCTGTACTAAATGAAATCTGGGCCCAGTAATTGTAATGTGTGTGTGTGAGTGTGTGTAGACAATTGTCGGGTGTTTACCCGTTTCGTTCTCCGTGTTTTTGGAGAATTGTTTTCGTACTGCTCGGTTCGTCCGGCAGTCCCGTGGGGTGTCCACGTATTTCCGGCTCCGTTGTGAGTCCGGCGTGTCCAGCTCGGTTGTGAGCGGTGTAGTGTTTCCGGTGTGTTCGAATGTAATTTTGTACTTCGTTTCCGCTGGTTTTGGGCGGTAGAGTTTATTGTCCTTTATTGTATTGTTGTTTTTCCGGGGGACGCCCCGTTGTTTGCATTGGTTGCTGCATTACTACTGCTTTGCATATAATAATAATTACTTGCTAAATCGTCCATCTAAAGATTGTCAATAAATAATCTTAAAAGCAACCAAAATAATTAGTGTTAGACCTGCATTTATTTCTTGCCACGGGCTACCAAAGGGGGGATCTTCAAGAACCTGCTGCAAACCATCCTAACTTTCGAGATTTGTAAATAAATCCCCCCACATCAGAAGATAGACCGTGACAACAGCTCGGCCGGCCGGCCGCCACGCCCCGAGCGCGCCGCTTGAAACGGAGGCCGCGCGTCAGAGAGCGAGCGGACGAAGTTTCGCTCGATTTTCCTGTGTTCACGTCGCCGCTACCTGGCATGCCCTACGGTTTTAGATACAGTAGGGTACGGCCTTTGTGTCCGCGAAGAGAAAACCATTGAATTCGACGGCTTTGTCTGTCGGGACCGAGTCGCGTCCTCCACCATACTTACGCCCCTGTAGGCGGTGTGTGGGCAGTGACTCGGAATGTATCGTGCGGGTTGATAAGTAGGGCCTATTAGGTAACACTTCTAGCCAGGGTAACTCTCTGACCTGCCATCCAACCCTAGTTTAGAGGCTTTCAAGATGACTGCCTCCCGCGCGGCAAATCGCAGTCGGCAACGAAAATCGCG